TTTTTTTTTTTCTCCCCCAAAACGGAGTTTTCCACCCCCGCAGAGGGTCAGGAGCGGGGTGTTGGGGTGGGGGGTGACGGCAGGGCTGTGCAGCTCCTTGCACGAGTGTCGTGCATCCCCTGGCACGGGGATCACACAGCCCCTCGCACCGGGGTCGTGTCGCTCCCTGCACCGGGACTGTGCGGCCCCTCGCACAAGGGTCATGAGCGTCCTTGCATGACGCTTTTTAATCCCTAATTTATTTGCAAATACGTGTGGGCAATTCCCCCAAACTGAAGGAACCCGGAGCTGTTTCACACGCAGCTCCTTGTTCTGCACGTCCTGCTCCAGACTGGTTCCCGAAGCCTCCAGCCACCACACCAGCTCAGCCCTGGAGTCCTCGAGCTGAGCAGATGGTGCAGCCTGAAATTCTCCCACTCATCCCAGTTTTCCCAGCCAGCCCCAGCAGGGATACAGGTTCCATTAAAAAACACCCCAACTTTGTCATTGCTGCAATCCAAAGGCTCCATGAACATCTGAAAGCCCGGGAAGAGCCTGAAAACCTCAAGTATGAGCTCAGATTTTGTTGTTCCATCAAGAAACGCTGTGCCAGACCCTGCTCAGCTGCAGCCTGAGGAGACATGAGGCAGTTGGATTTGCAGCCCTTTATTCACTACTCATGACCCTGCACAGATCCAAAGGGGGAGAAGGTGCTCCAGGGACAAATTCTGCCATGGGTGATGCTCAGCATCCCTAAGTTGCCAGGGCAAAGCCAACTCTGTTGTTGGCCATGTCAAAGATGGAGTAATACTGCCTGAGGAAGAGGTTGCCGAGGATCCAGAGGGGCTGCCCACTGTCAGAGGGCACATAAGTGCTCTCGACCCCCACGGTGCAGATGCCATCGTTCTGTGGGGGGGAAAAAGAGCAAATTTCAGCTCCAGTGAGGAGCTGCTCGTGCCTTCCCAGCTGCTGTGGCTGGGAACAGGATCACAGACAGGCAGCAAAAACACCGTGGAATCAGGTGCTGGAGGCCTCTGTGCCTGAGAAGAAACTCAGATTTTCTCCTGAGCAGAACTGCCCTGTCGGGAAGGGTAAAATCCCACCTACCTCTAGGACATAGACAGTGGGAGGCAGCGACAGCCAGACCCCACTGATGGCAAAGTAGAGGGTGGGCATGTCTGGGACGCTGCTGCAGTCAACGAGGAACTGCAAAGAGAGGCAAAGAGGGGCAGAGGGGTCAGGACCCTCAGGCTGGCACTGGCTTTATTCCAGTGGCCACGATCCTTAAGGGTCAGCACAGCTCTGCTGGTGCCAGGGTTGTGCTGACCCACACTTATCACGTTTGGAAGGATTATTTCTGTTTCACAGCACTGCAGGGCTGGTCCAGGTGGGATGTTTCGCTCCCACAGCTCAGCATCACCAGCCAGGTGTGTCCTCATCCCACGGCATCACCCGGTGCCTCCTGCCCACCTACCCCGTAGTCGCTCTCCTCCGCGCCCAGCGCCTGCAGCAGGCCTGGCATGAACTGCCCTGGGATGGTCAGCAGGAATGTCCCAGTGTCCACAATGCCATGACAGCCTTGGCTGCACCAGCTGGTGACTGACAGCCCAACGGAGAACCTGGAGAACCAGCAGGAAAGGCGTCAGAAGAGGTTCCCCCGCTCCGGGACCTGCTCCGAGCTGTGGTGCAGCACTTACTCCTCAATGCTGATCTTCCAGTACAATTCCTGGACCACAGGAGCCCATATAACCTCCCCTGAGTACAGCTGGGGGTCAACCCCCCCGAGGATGACTTCCCCACCGTAACTATATGTTGGGTTGCTGGAAAGACACAAAAAGAGACCCAAAATCAGGCGGGATGCTCCACAGAAAGCACTGGAACATGGAGGTGAATGGGGAGAGGGTGAGGGTGGAGGAAAGGCTGGACCCACACTGTGCCTGTGGGAGAGGGACCCACTGCCAGAGGTCTCACCGGGAGAAGTAGAAGCTGAAGATGGGTTCGTTGAGCTGGTTCTGCTGCAGCATGTTCTGCATCAGCGTGCTGAAACCACTGATGGCAACGCCTGGGTAAGCCATGCCCAAAATCCCATCAAAATCCAGGTAGTAAAAGGGTCTGCTGGGCTCATACAGGCTCAGGCCAAACTCCTGGTTCCTGATGACGATGTTCTGGATCTAGAGGGAGAGGGAAGTTTGGTCACAAAGGCAAATCTGCACTGGGAGATGCTGAGCTCATCCCCATCACCCATGGGGTCAGGAGCAGCCTGACTCACAGTCTTCGTCCCATCAGTCATTATTTCATAAAAATAGTCACAAAATGGTTTTGCCTCTTAAATTAGTTTAAAATCACATTTTCACCACTTGCAAGTCTCACACAGAACATTTCTCCTGTCCTGTGAGGACAAAGCTCAGACATATATAAAGCAAATTCTTATGGCCAAAGATATCCCTTATCCCAGACCAGGGCTGGAAAGCCAAGAGGACTCGGAATGAGTTTGTTTGCAGATCCCAGTCTTGGAGTAAACTCATGCTGACACACCTTAAACTAATCAGGCACTAATCCCAGAATGAGAAGGTACTTTCAGCTACTCCCCAACTTTTTAAGCAAATTGGACTGATTGTAAGCACAGGCACCTCTTACCCCTCTGCAGCCACACACCAACACGTCAGGAGTCACTTACTGTCACCGTGTCATATCCCAGCACCACCGACAGGTCCCCAAACCCGTATCTCAGGGTGTAGGTCATGTCGATGCCCAGGAAGGTGGACGACAGGCTGTGGTTGAACCTGCTGTGATCCTCTGCACAGAGAGAAGGTCAAAGCACCCAGATCACATCCTGCCCTCAGCTCAGCACCCCTGTCCCCACTGGGGGCCCAGCACGAGGCTTTGCAGGGAAGGGACCATCCAAACCCAGCCCTGCCCGTGTCACCGAGCGGAGCAGACACCAAACCCCAGCAGCTCTCGCTGCTTTCCCTGTCACAGCTCCAGAGAGCACCGATGGGGGGGTCCCAGCCCCCTCACCACGGCTGTGTCCCCCAGGGGTGCTCACCACAGGCTGGACTCCGGCAGTAGGTGGAGGGCACCCACAGGTTGGAAGAGCCGGTGTCGAAGATCACCAGGAAATTTTGGGGAGGGGTCCCGATGCCGACCTCCCCGAAGTAGAAGGTCTGTGAACAGGAGTGTGAGTGGATTTCTGTTTCTGCCTGGTTTTTTTCAATGAGTTTTCAGCCCTGTGCCCCCCTGCCCTCCTCTCCCAGCATCAGCCAGCCCTTGGAGCCAGGCTAAACCCCAGTAAAACCCCTGCCCAACCCTCGGCTGGTGAGGGGGGAGAGAGCCAAGTCCCCACTGCAGAGCTTCCCCCTGCCAGCCAGGAAAGCAGGAGGGCATCCCCAAACCCAAGGGTGGCTCAGAGGAGGCAGGAGAAGCTTTAGCACTTACATCCAGGTAGTTCATGAGAGGTTCATAAGCCACAGCCCCACTGAGCAGGTATTTCCTCCCCGGGTCCCCTCTGAGGTTGCTCAGGAAACCCTCCGGCAGCCCCTTCTCTCTCATCACCTCCCGGATGGACCTGCCTCTCCTCAGGGGGATCCTGGGGGATGTAGGAGGCAGAGATGCCGAGTGGCCCCATCCCTTTGTGGTCCCCCCCGTGCTGAGACCCTGCACCCTCCCCAGGACCCACCTCAGCATCCCCTCCCCGAGTGGGAGGCAGAGCAGGGCCAGCATCAGTCCCCACATGGTCCCTGGTGCCGGTGGCTCCGTGGCAGCTCCTGTGCCAGGCAGGGAGTATTTAGCCAGAGCCGTGCCCAGCTCCTGCTCCAGACACCCCTTTCCCTATCGCCGCTCCCACCCTCCACCAACGCCCGCGGGGTGTTAATCACCGCAGCCGCCCTGATTGCCCTCCTCGCCAGGCTGCTGGGGCACCGAGGGATTGGCCAGTGCCTCTGAGACCAAATAAGTGGCATCTGATAAAATGCAAAATCCTGTGGTTATTAACAAGTTAAAGTCTTCTCTCTTGCCCTCAGCACCAGCTCGATCTTTCCAGAAAACAAAGGCAAAGCACACCCTTTAGAGCAGATGGAAATTCCTGCCGCTGGTGTTCTGGGGATGGGCAGGAGCAGCCCTGCTGTCCCCTGCTGCAGGTGCCTGCAGAGCTCCCGGTCCCTGCTGACAGGGGCCCCCATTCCCATCCAAGTTACTGGTTATGGAATGATGTTTGGAGCCTGCAGCAGCTCAGGAAACCCCTCAGCACCCCTTCCTCCTCCATCGCACCCTGATGGATCTGCCTTGGCTTGGACAGATCCTGCAGGGAGCAAAGGGAAGAGAGCAAAGATCAGCAGGGACACCATCAGCCTTCACCTGTCCCCTCCTGCCACTACCCCATTTCCACCAGAAACCCCCCAGTCCAAGGGGAGGAGGAAAGCCCTTCCCTGCTGTCCGCGCCCACTTAATCTCGTCTCCCTGTGCTCAGCCTGTGTCAATATTTTGACACAAAGCACAGAGCAGTTTGTGTCCTTCCCCACCGTGAAATGACAGAGCTGTGAATGCATCTGATAACCAGAAAGAGCTTCTAAGAAACGAGTCTGGATCCCAGGAAAGAGCAGGGTTACCCAACCTACCCCGCCCAAGGTGTTTCCCGTCCCCTTCGGCCACACCACAATTCTGGTGTTTTACCTGATTGAACAGCCCTGCTTCAGGGTTTAGGGGTCATTTGGGTGTCATGACTCACCTCACATTCCAACTTTGACTTAACCACAGGACTTTGGTAAACCTTTTCCAGCTGCAAGGAAGGTCAGGGGCCTCACATGAGTTTTGCCGGTGCCCAGGATGAGGGTTGGAGGTGGGGATTGACCAGCCCTGTGGCTTTATCCTCAGCCCTGGAGTTTGTCACGGCACTTACCTTGCTGGAGAAAGGGAGCCTGAGACCCGTAACCCATCGGTCTGTGCTCAGCCATCGCTCAACAAACCCGGGAGGTGGGAGGTGATTTGGGATGTTGTGGTTTATTGGTTACAGGAGACACTGTGAGGACACACTCACACGGGAATCCCGAGGGATGGGGAGTCATGTGGGCAAGTAAAGGAACATGGAGGTCCCTGGGAATGCCGTGGCACTCCGGCAGTGCTGGGCCAGGAGAGGGGCTGGCGGTGCTGCCCCACTGCCCTACGCCGAGCGGGCGAAGCCGACGCGGTTGTAGGCCATGTCGAAGATGGTGTAATATTCCTTGAGGAAGACGTCACCCAGGATCCAGAGTGGCTGCCTGTCCTGGGAGGGCAGGTAGGTGACCTCGATCCCAAGGGTGCAGTAGCCGTTGGTCTGTAAGAGGGGAACAACAGGGAGTCAAAGAAGCAATGGGACCCTCCAGCTGGGCTGCAGGGAGGGAGGACATCACTGCTGGTCACGGAGCTCCAGGTCCTCCCCTGGCCCCCCAGAACTCTGCAGGAGAAGCCCCCCAGCTGATACGCACGTTCAGGACGTAGGAGGAGGGGTAGAGAGGGAGCTGAGCACCGCTGACTGTGAAGGTGATGGGAGGCATGTTCTCGATCTCATCACAGTCCACTGCATACTGTGGAGAGGGGGAGAAGAGCAGATTAGGGCGGGACAGCACCCCCAGTGAGAGGAGAGATACCCTCATATGCCAGGGGTAGGTGCCACATAAGTTTTGTGGGACCTGGTTGAGCCCACAGCTCTGACTCCCATGCAAGGCTCCCGCTGCTCCACACCCCCCAGAATCCCTGCACTCACTCCATAGCTGGTCTCCTGGGCACCCAGGGCCTGCAGGATGCTCTCGATGTACTCCTGGGGCACAGTCAGTAGGAAGGTCCCCGTGTCCACGATGGCCTGGCAGCCCTGGCTGCAGTAGCCTGTCACTGACTGCCCAATAGCAACCCTGGGAGGAGAACAGGGGGAAAGACATCGCTTGAGGCACCCGCTGGCACCTAAACGAGTCTTGGCTGCATCTGTCACTCTGGGGTGCCCTGAAACGCATCCAGCCTGGAGCCTGTGCCTGCTGCAAAGAGCAGCTGCATCTGGGGGACAGCTGTGCCCCCTCCTTCCGTGAGCTGCCCAGGGGGGGATGCCCAGAGGCACAAACACCACTCACTCTTCAAGTGTGACCTGCCAGTAGAGCTCCTGGGTCACCTGTGCCCACGTAATGGCCCCGTGGAAGAGCTGAGGGTCGATTCCTCCCAGAACCAGCTCTCCCCCGTACTGGTAGGTGGGTTGGCTGCAAAATCAGAGACACAGCAGCAGAGATCAGTGTGATGTACGTGGGCTAGAGAGGGATAAACCCACAAGGAACCCTCCTGGGGACAGGCAGGGGACACAGTGCAGAGCGTCCCGGCGGGTTTTTACCGTGAGAAGTAGAAGCTGAAGATGGGCTCAGCGAGCTGGTCCTGCTGCAGCATTCGCTGCACTGCTGTGGGCATCCCTCCCACTGCCAGGGCAGGGTAGGCCATTCCCATGATCCCATCAAAATCGGCAAAGTAGAAAGGCTGGGTGGGCTCTTCCGTGCTGAGCCCGAACTCCTGGTTTGTGACGGTGATGTTCCGGATCTGCAGGGGAAGGGGAGGCCAGGTCAGCACGGCAAACCTGAGCAGCCTTGGGAGGGGTGGATGATGCTCTGGAAGACCAAGAGCACTGCAGGGTCACAGCTGGTGAGAACAGCACCAGGCAGCAGGGAAAATTAGCATGAACTGGGTTAAAACACAGTCGAAGCCCAGCTGGGTGACTGAGGGTGGCAATAACCACTTTGCATCCGTTCTGCCCACGGTTTGTCCAAGTCTTGGCTACACAAAATCTGCCCTTAGGCTGCCCCGGGGCTCCTTCCATCGGGACACCCAGCTGGGACACAGCAGGCGGCAGGACAAGGACGGGGTGCCCTCACCCTGAGCGTGTCGTAGCCCAGCACGACGGTGACGGAGCCGCTGCCGTAGGTCACGGTGTAGGTCTGGCCGTTGGGGGTGAAGGTGTCAGACTCACTGGGCTTGAACTTGGCGTGATTGACTGGGAGAGAGAGGAGGGGACATCCTGGGCATGTGCTCATCTGGCTGAGGTGGGATTTCACTGTCAGTCACTCTGCTGGGATAAGGCCCAGGAAAGCAGCTTCCCTGGCAGGGAGCGAGTCCTGAAGGGCAGAACAGGCTGTTCCTCTGCCTTGTGGGACTCTCCCAGGCAGGTTTGCATCCCAGTTTTGCCTGGATGCCTCTCCAGGGATCACAACCACAACAGCCACCCAGCAAAGCCATTGGCAGTGAAATCCCATGGCTCTCCTACTGGCAGAGTGACATGGGATGAGCTCTGCTGGGAGCAGAACATCAGCTCCACTGGTCCTGGCTTTGCTCTTCCCTCTGCCCGGCTACGGAAGGGCAGGCACCACCACTGAGCTTCCTGGGGTGGCCACAGGGATTTGCCCACCTTCTTTAGCCAGGCAGAGGGCTCTGTGCTTCCCAGGGAAGGCACCAACCAGCACCGGGGAGCAGCTATCCCAGACCAGCATCCTGGGATCACTCCTGGTCTGGCACTGCTTGTCCCTGGCACCACTGGGCTGTGCAGTGCTCCAGGGTGGCAGCTGCTGCTGGCTGCTACTACAGGCACACCAGGGGTACTCACAGCAGGCTGGGCTCCTGCAGTCGATGGAGGGCACCCAAAGGTTGGAGGAGCCGGTGTCGAAGAGCACCAAGAACTTTTGGGGGGGGGTCCCGATGTTGATCTCCCCGAAGTAGGAGGACTGCAGGGAAGAGACGGGGCACTTCCATTGGCCAAGGGGTCAGGAACAGAGCAGGCTCTCACCTGGCATCCCAGCGCCTCGCAGGGTGGTGAGGAATGCCAGGCCCACTCTTGCCAATAACCAACCAGGCAGGAGCAGACTGAGCTCTCACCCTGCTTGTTCTCCCAAAAGACGAAATATGAAACAATTACTGTGTTTTTTTTACATACAGAAAGGCCTCAGTTTTCATGGCTGGGGAAAAGCTTCCCTGAAGTCTAAACCAGAAGCTTAGAAGAGTGGCAGAAAAGCAGATTCTCGCTCTGGGAGGCTCTGGGGCGATCAGATCGCTCCAGCAGCTGGGAAGGAGGAAAAGGGGAACGTGGTGTGCAGAGAGGCAGCCAGAGGAGAGCCTGGGGTACTCACATCCAGGTGGTTGGTTATCGGCTCCTTCACAACGTAGCCCTTTTTGAAGCCGTATTTCTTAACTGGATCATACTTAATTTTCTTCAGGTAGTCACCCAGCACTCCAGCTGCCCTCATCTTCTCCCGTATGGACTCACCTTTCTTCAGCTGGATTCTGCACAGAGGGAGGAAAAAACCCAACAAAACACAGCAGGAAATCAAGAGAAGATTTGGGCGTTTTCAAATGCTCAGTTCTCTGGTCTCCTTCAAACCCTGCCACAACAGGAGCCCTCTGGGTGCCCGGGGATGCCCTCCAGCGAGGGATGCAGCCTGGGCTGGGACCGCAGAGTGGCGATGCCAGAGCCACACCTGGGCAGGTGGCCCTGCAGGTCAGGGCTGCAGCCAGGCTCTGTTCTCTGCCCTCTCCCGCTCCTCCTGCTGCGGGACACCCACCTCACCAACCCCTCTGCGAGCTGGAGACACGCCAGGGCCAGGACGAGCCACTTCATGGTGCCGAGCTGTCCACACACACCCTGGGGCGACGGCAGCGGCCGGGCCGCCCGGGCTGCCGGGTTTTATAGCGGGAGGCAGCGCCTGCCCTTATCTGCTGACCTCCAATTTCCATTACCACTCGTGCACCCCCGGCCTCAAGGGCTTCTTTGTGCTGCGGGCCACGAGGCTCGCGGGGAGTCTGTGCCCTCAGCGGGGCGCTGGGGTGCGAGATCAAAGTGCTGCCATCCGATAAGGGGTCAGGAGCTTATCGGGGAGGAGGGACCCGACGTCACCGCTGGGCGATATCTGCGCTCGCCAAAACCTGTTCAAACCTTTCCCCCGGGGACAAAGGCGCTCGCGGCTCTCGGCGCGGGATGGAAACGCTTTGGTCTGCCCTCCTTCCGCCCCGATGGACGGGCGGCTGCCGGCGGCCGGGCTTTCCCAGGACACGGAGAAAAGGGCTGGAGAACACCGGCATCCCTCTCCTGCTTTGTCCCAGGTGGTCTCCGGTGCTGCTCTGCCTTCAGGCCTTCTCCTCTTCAGCAGCCTCCCAGCCCTTCGCTCTCTCCTCCTCCAGGAGAGGAGCTGGTTCCCATGTCACGCACTGTTCGTTATCTGGACAGAAATCACGTGTTTGTCCATTTATTTTATAATTTTGTGGAGCACCCGATTCCCTCCCCATCCTGCATCTGAAGGCAGGTTTTGTGCCTCCCTGTGTGGGAAGGTGCAACTCACCCACAGGGGAAGCCCCCGGGGTTTAACCCACCCACCGCCTCCTCACACCAGCCCAGAAAGTCAGAAAATTCCTTGTTTGCTTTTATTCCTGTGGAAAAAAAGAGAGAACCACAAACATAGACTTCCCAGATTGCCAACAAACATCCAAAGAGACCAAAATGTTTTCAGTTATAACCCAAATATTTTCCAGGAAATGGATCAAAATGGGTTGGGTCATGACCTAAATATTTTCTAGCAAACAAACCAAAGCATTTTTGGTTATAACCTAAATATTTTCTGGCAAATGGGTCCTTACCTTCTCAATTACAGCCTACATATTTTCCAGAGCTCGTCCAGCCCTGCTTGCATCCCCAATACAAGCAGCCTGGCTCTTCCCAGTGGGGAAATCACCCTCTCCATCCTCCAGCATCACTATCGCTGCTCATCCCGTGTCAACGCTCCGCACAGATTTCATTCCCTCGGGAGTACCAGGGAGTGTGTGTCCTTTGCTGGATATTGAGACTATAATAAAGCAATTATCTTGTTTGCCAGCAGGATTGATAGAAAGATCAACTTATTAAGATTGGATAAAAGGCAAATTCTGGCTGGAAGCAAAGTGTGGTTATCAAAACGTCAATAGACCGGCGGTTCCCGGCACAGCCCCCCCTGGGCTCGGCCCTGCCACCAGGCAAAGGAATAAGGTGCCCTCTCCAGCACACACACATCCCACTTTCTGGCACTTCTTGACCCGAAGTTGGGCAGCACTGAGGTGTTGAGTCTAACAGGAATCATGGATTTGCAGTTTCTAACATCAGATCCAGCATCCCCACGGAGCAGGACTCGGCCAACAGCTCCTTCCCAGGCAGGGCTTCCCTCAGGACCAGGCCCTGGGCATTTCCCCTCCTTTGCTTTCAGTTTCTCTCCTGTGTTGGGGCCATGACCCAGCCCACACACCCCCAGCTCCAGCCCAGGGAATCCCATCTCCCTTCGCATCCCACGGCTGACTCCACCACCACCCACGCAGGATGTCAGGGGCCTGCAAGGAAGGTGGAGAGGGACTCTTCATCAGAACTGGAATGACAGGACAAGGGGGAATGAAAGACAGTAGGGTTAGATCAGATTTTTGGAAAGATATCTCCCCCTGTGAGGGTGGGCAGGCCCTGGCACAGGTTGGGCAGAGAAGCTGTGGCTGCCCCATCCCTGGAAGTGTCCAAGGCCAGGTTGGACGGGGCTTGGAGCAACCTGGGCTAGTGGAAGGTGTCCCTGCCCATGGCAGGGGGTGGACTGGGATGAACTTTAAGGTCCTTTCCAGCCCAAACCATTCTGTGATTCCATGATTCCGTGAAGAAAGCCGTGGGGGAAGCTTTGCCCACGATGGCATGGGTGTCCCTGAAGCAGCTGTGTTTATGAACCCACACAAGCTCATGGATCCTTTACCCAGCGCTGCAGGAGCTTGTTTTGGTGCTTTATTTCCAAAACAGAGATTACAGAACACAGGTGAACACTTTCCATCCACATTAAAATAAAGGCTCCTCTTTTCCTACACAACCATGAGAACAGCACCTGAACTAAATGGTTGGGCTCTAGGTTGGACATTTGACTTCCCAAACCAGGTGAGGATCAGCCACTTCATGAGGATGAGAACCAAAAGGGTCTCCAAGGGAAGCTGGGAGGAGTTTGAGGTGACACTGAGGCATCTGGGCCTTTCAATTGGAAAATCACATTCACTTAGGAAGAAAAACAAATTAGATCCCTTCTTTACAATTAGCCTTTTCCACTCCCTGGCCTGTAATTGCCAACTTCAAAGCTCTCAGAATTCTCCCTAATGAATTCACCTTCAGTAACAGGAACCTAAACCTGTTCTGCTGCCTGTGTGTGGAATTTCTCAACAAGCCAAGGTTGGGGGAAAGACAAACTTCCCAGAAAGACTGAGGGCAGCCCTCCCAGAAGCTGGATTTGGGCAATGGGTTCATTAACAACCTCTCATTAATGATTTTTCACAGGCGAGACACCACCCAAGAGGGCTGAGCAGCGTCACAAAGAGGGACAGCGGAAAGATTCCAGGAGAAAATGGCTGAGAGAACAGGGAGCTGCAATACCACCCCTGGCTTGGTTTGTGTCTCCAGTGAACAGCAGGGCTCAGTTAACAAAACCAGCAGTACCTCAGAAATAACGAACACATTTGGGTCTCTTTGCAGAGATATCGACCCTTTAACCCTCACAACCAGCCTCTCCTTTGCCACCCTCTCCCTGTAAGGCAGGTACACTCACAGCTACTCCAACCTCCTTCCCTGGGGGAAAAGCAGGCACTTAAAATGGGCTAAAAGAAAAAAAACCAAACCCTCCCACGATGAGACAACAGAGCACTGGGAGAAGCTCCATTCCTACAGCAGGTTCTTGGGAAAGGGAAGGGGAAAAGATCTATTTATGCATTCACCAGGGAAGAAATCTGATTGATTAACTCAAACCTCATCAAGAACCACTCGAGAAGGTTAGGGCAGTCGAATTCTCCCTGCCCAGCCCAGGGCTGCTCCCCAAGCCATTCCTCAGCTTCAGTCCTAGAGTGAAGGAAGGAGCCCCCGAAGGGGTGAGAGGACTCGGGTTCCCCCCTCACCTTCCGTCCCAAACCTGGATTCTCCTCTGGAACCGTTTCCCCCGTGGCCACTAGAGGAAGCTGCGGCACCGCGCCGGGAGAATCCCAAATGTGCCACCTGTGCTCCGGGAACCGCGGCCCCAGCGCCCGGACACGGCTCCCGTCCCTCCCTGCCTGCCACACCACCCGCAAAACCGACTATGAAGCAGTTCTCAAAGAGTCCTGGCCACTTAATGCGGACACAGCTCTTGGGAAGTTTTCCAGAAAAGCAAAAACAAAAAAAGTGTGAGAATCACTGGGAGGGGAACACGTGCACCCCGAAAGCCGTAAATCCAACTGCCTTCCTGGCTGCCTGCACGACACTTCCATGGCTTAAACGTGCAACAACCCACTGCAAATAATGAGCTATGACTGGCTTTTCATTCCTAAAGCTTCCCGGGGAGTTTGGGATACCTCTGGAGCGGAGCCTGCTGAGCCAGCAGAGCCGAGCTCCAGGGGGAGGGGGAGGACACAAGGGGACACGGAGCAGAGGATGCTCCACACTGGGAGCATCCAACATCAACTCCATGCCTTCTCATCTTTAAGGTCAAGGAAATTCTTCTCCCTTCCTTAAAAGGTGCAGCATCTCTGGTATAACTGGGAGAAAACGTGTTGGAGAACAGCATCTCTGTGGGAGCAAATCCCCATCACCACTGCTTTCAGTGTCCTCTGGGAGCACTGGATTTGCCAACGAGGAGAGGGAGGCCCACGTGGGACAACCTAAATCTGGAGGACGTGAAAATCAGCAGTTCAAACGATGCAAGCCAGATTTCCCAACACAAAGCTCATGGGGAACCGCTGACATGGGATTGCAGCCAGGAGCTCGATGTTTCTGAGGAACACCAGGGAGAATTCCCTGATCCTGGTTGCTCACAGATGTGCAGACCCTCACACCAGCCTCATCCCACCCCTGGGGAGACGTGGCCAGGCTGGTGGCCACAGGCAGCACCCAAAAGCAGCCCCAGCCCTCAGCTGCTGCCACCCAAGGCACAAACAGCCACCCACCAGCACCATCCCTGGAATTCAACCCACCTGCAAACCCCCTCGTGGGAGTGGGAAAGGGCACTCACCTCCTCCTCCATGGAAATCCTCATTTCATCTCATCCTCACTTCCCTTTCTGGGGAAAAAGGGAATAAGTACTTTGCATTTCTCAGCTCAGGTAGTGGAAAGGCAGGTTCATACAGAGGCTCCAGAGGGAGCTGCTGGTGCTGTCCCAGAGGGTGACACTGACAGCTCAGAAACTCTTTATTTAAATACTTTATTTAAAGCTTAACGCAGTTAACTTTTATATATATATATATAGATAGATATAAACAATTTCTTCTCTCACTTCCCTAAATGAAAGCTGGATTTAGGAGGATACATTACTTGGGGGTTTGTTTTTTCCTTCAAATAATTTGTTATACATATAAAAATATATTACTTGGGTTTCCTTTCAGTTATAAGTGACACAAGGGTCAAGGTGGACAAAAGAATGGAAGACAAGCACAAGGACTTCCAAAAATAAAAAGAAAACCAGTGAATTTAAGCATGTGGCACACCTGGAATTTATAGTGCAACAGCAAGCCAAGAACTCCACGTTCTGCGACACAAACATGGCATCACTCAGACTTGGATCACACGTCCTTGCTCCCAACAGGGTCACGGCTCAACAGGACATTACAGCACCAAAACCCAAAAAGGCTGAACTTCCAAAATCTGGAAATCAAGTTCCTGGCCCTCAGAAGCAGGTTGGAACGGGGTGATCGGGGTCTTTCCTTTTTCATGGACGTCAACACCAGAAAACATCAAGGACGAGGGGGGGACACGAGGTCTGGTAACGTCTCTGCAGGGAGCGGGACCCTCGCTGAGACTGCA